CTCACTCGCATTCACACACAAACTCACACTCCTAGTCACACTCTGACACTCATATTCACACATTCAACACACATTCACACTCACCCTCACCCTCCACACACACATTTTCACACTCACACATTGAGCACTCGCACACATTCACACACACTCAAAGGCACACACATTCACACATTCATACTGTCACATTCAGTACTCACATTTACACACTCACACATTCACAAAATCTCACACTCACACATTCACTCCCATACATTCACACATTCTCACACATTGACACTCACATTATCTCACACTCACTCAGACTCACATTCACACACTGTCACACTCACACTTGCTCACACATTCACACATGTTCACACTCACATTCACACTCATACATTCACATGCTCATTCACACTCACTGACACAGTCACACACACATTGACACATTCGCACTCACATGCTCTCACACTCACCCTCACCCACACTCACGGACATTCACACCTTACTCTCACACTCACATGCTCTCACACACTCACACTCACATGCTCTCACACACACTCATATGCTCTCACGCTCCCTCACACATGCTCTAACACACACTCACACGCTCTCACACTCCCTCGCACACACACGCTCTCACACTCCCTCACACTCACATCCTCTCACACTCACATGCTCTCACTCACATGCTCTCACACACACATGCTCTCACACATGCTCTCACACTCCTTCACACTCACATGCTCTCACACACACTCATGCTCTCACACACACACACGTTCTCACGCTCACACGCTCACACACTCACATGCTCTCACACTCCTTCACACACATGCACTCACACACACACATTCACACTTACACACTCTCACACTCTCTCACACTCCCTCACACTCACACGCACTCACACTCACGCACTCCCACGCACTCACACTCACATTCATACTTACACACTCACACTCCCTCACACACACTCACACGCACTCACACTCACACACATTCACACTTACACACTCACACTCCCTCACACTCACGCTCACCCATGCTCACGCAGGAGGCAGTGGGGCTGCAGTTGGCTGTCCCTCTTCCCCAGAGCCCCTGCTCGTGCCCCGTGCTCCTACACGGGGGGCCAGCACAGTGCCCTCCGTGCCTCGGTGGCTTCAGCAGGACATCAGGAGGGTGGGCAGCCTGAAGGGCCATGGCTAACATCTGTCTTGCCTAATGCTGGGCCCGGATCACGCTGGCACTGGGAGGCTGTATTAGCCAAGACCTCTTCAGTTGCCCGGGACAGAAAAACAGCACAAACTGGTTTAGACAAACACAGAAAGAAAAACGCATGGGCTCAAATAACAGAAAAGGCCAAGGGTGATGGCTTCAGGCAAGGCTGGGTCCAGAGTCTTGAGTCCAGAGCCTGGTTCTCCATCTCTCAGCTCTGATGTTCTCTGTGTCATCTTTATACTTCACGCCTCGTCCTGTCTGCTCCGCAGCCCCTGTGGACACACAGCCCTCCTTTCTCACAGGTGCTCTTGTGGGCACACGCTCCTCTCTGAACGCAGCAGGGAGGCTGGGTGGGGGCGGCTCTGATCCCTGGGCCAGGGTCACCGCCCACCCCGGGACAGAAGAAGGGGAAGTAGGTTCCAGACAGAGCCGGCCGAAGCTGTCCGTGGGCAGTGCTCCCTGGCCCAGGGATGCACACATATCATCACACTCTAGCCGTTCTCTGCACGTATGCTTCCTCCCTTCGGAATCTTCCTCATGACCTCTTGTTCGTCTCTCAGAGCCCCACGCCGTGTTCTTTCCTCTGAGAAGCCTTTGCTCACTTGCAGATGGAGTTAGGGACTTGCTCGCCTGCTGTAGCCCTTGTCACACTGCCTCCTGCTTGCCTGATTGGTGGGTCTGCTCTTACCCCCGGGCTCTGAGCTTCCTGCAGGCCCCCGGCCACAGAGCACATGCTTAGGACCACTCTGCCAGGAGGCTGAACATGTGTGAGAAGGAACCCCTGGCCAAACCGGCCCAGTGCACCCAGAGCTGGACATGCGGGGGGAGAGCAGTGCAGAGGGGCAGCGTTCAGCCCGAGTACCTTCCTGAAGGGCTGGCTCTGCTGGGCCTGCTGTTGCGGCCTGAGTGTGTGTGCACGCACACGTGCATACGTGACGCATGAAGCTGTGGCCACCTTTTAAAATGAGTTTCCACAGCCAGCCCCTCCTCTCGTCCTCAAGGCCACCTCGGTGAGTCCCTGCCCAGTTACCAGAATTCAAGACCTGGACAGGCCCTGAGCAGAGGGTACATCTAGGGAGGCTTCCTGGAGGAGATGTCTGTTGGCTGACGGGCCTGTTGTCTCGGGTCCTGGGCACCCAGATCAGCAGACGCTTCACGCTCTAAAATGACCTGTGACAAGAAGGTCACTAAGGCGTGTTGACCCCTCCTTTGTGCCCTGCACTGCTCTTTTCGTCCCACCCCGGGGGGCACCAGAGCCAGCACCCGGCCAGGGCCACGCTGCTAAGTGAGAAGGGGCAGGGCTAGTGGAGGAAGCAGACTGCCTGGCCCCACAGCCAGTGCTCTCCAGGGGCCCTCACCTGCCATCCCTCATCGGGGACCACTGTATGCCGGAACAGCCTGTGTCATTCAGGCCTGCTCCGAGCCTGCCCAGAGGAGCCTGCTCAGCTTCCTATCATCACGCACGCCTCCACGGACAGACGGGCAGTGGTGGCGCAGGAGGTGCATTGGTCGGGAATTGAACCCAGGTCTCCCCCATGGAGGGTGAGAATTCCACCACGGGCCACAGGCGTCCCCACCTCGCAGGTGCACTGCCGTCTAACCGCAGCCTGTGGACACAAACGTCTTGTGCCCGTAACACGTTCCACAGGCTCCCTCGTGCCCAGCTCAGTGCAGCCACCCACGGATTCAGAAGGTGCTCTGAGCCCCTGCAGGACGCCCGCTCCTGGGCCGGGTGCTAGGAGTGCAGGGATGCAGACGCAGCCTGCTCTCAGCTGACCCTGTGACCCTGGGACATGATGGCAAGCCAGAGATTGAACGGGGCTCCATGGGGCGGCAGGGTGCAGGGCGCTCATGCCTGGGGAAGGGGCTTCAGGAGGGGAGCAGTGTCACCAAGGGGAGGCCCTGACCGGGACTTTAAGGGCTGAGAGGGAATTTGCCCATCGAGGTATGGGCGCAGGAAGGCATTTGAGGCCAGGGCCCGGCGTGGCAAAAGCACAGAGGCGTGAAAATGGCCCGGCAGCCTCACTGAACAGCCGCGTCCACTGCAGTCACATCTGCAAAAGCTAGAAAATATCATAGCAACATGCTACAGGCGAGTGGGGAGTTGGCGCAATCCAGATGTCTAAGACATCTGGATGTCACCTGTTTTAACTGTGCTGTAAGCAAGATTTTCCTGCACTGCTGAATGTTCTCGGTAACTGTCTCTGGTTTGCTCCAGCCAGGAGGACGAGCCGTTCCCTCTCGGAAGTAACCAGTTCTAACAGCGCCCTCCCACGCAGCCACATAAATCAGATGGGAAGACTTGATCATTGATTAGCTGTCTGAAGGCCCCCAGGACGCTTCTGGGTTTTGCCCTCAGAGTGTGGCACTAATGCTATAATAATATAATAAACCAAACCAAACCCCTTGCCATCAAGTCGATCCCGAACCATAGCGACCTTACAGGACAGAGGAGAACTGCCCCACAGGGCTTCCAAGGAGCAGCTGGTGGATTTGAACTGCCGACCTTTTGGTTAGCAGCCGAGCTCTTAACCACTGCGCCACCAGGGCACTGCTGCTCTAATAATAGCTGTCATGTATTAATGCCTGCTAGGTCTCAGACACGGTTCTGGGGACTTCTATCCTCATGGCACTCTTGTGAAATAGATGCTGTTATTATCCACATTTTACAGATGAGGGAACTGAGGCTTGGAGGGCTTCTGTTACTTTCTCAGTGTGACTCAGCTGGGAAAGGCTGGGGTCCTCATCTAGGCTTGTGGGCGCCCAAAACCCCATGTTTTTTCTTTCCCCGACATCAGATCACAGACTATTTTCTGAAAAATTGAAAATTAAAACTGGGTCAATTGGGTTGCTAGTGACTTCACTGTGATTTCACAGCAACGTCTCCAGAATGTCTGATTCTTCTCTAATGGGTGAGTTTTTTGAGTCATGGCCTGGAAACCCCGCGGGATCCGCTGCCTCCATGCCCCAGGTCAGCAGCGCCTGGCGTCAGAGCCCCATGGGTGGTGTTGAGCGGAGCAGCCTCCTCCTCGCGGGTGGTCAGGTCACTGCCACTGTAGCTCAGGCCGGGGGGACCAAACCGGGGGCACAGCCGAGCAGTGGTGGGGTCCGAGGAGGAGGGGTCTGTTTGCACCAGCAGGAATTCCATGCCGGGAGGACTACAGTGGGATTCCAGAACGTTCGCTACAGCTCATTATTTCAGTGTGGTCATGAGTGCTAATCTCTTGCTTCACAGCTGACCCTGTGGCTGACCCCTCACACCAGCGACGGCCCCACTGGACCAAAAACCCCGCTTGCAGAGCATCTCCCAACTTCTCTTTCTCTCTGTCCTGTTAGGGATGTGAGCTCTTCCCGTTATGACACCGGTGTTCATATTTTCACGTTCTGTTTGTCATACACGTTCATGGAACCCATTCATTCATTCACATAACACCTATCTGTTGAGCCCTTGCTCTGTGCCCAGCCCTGGTAGGCACGGGGGAGGCAGAGGTGACAGCATAGCCGTGTGTGCGGCCTGCCGAGCCCGGGGTCCCGAAAGCCCCATGACGTTTGCAGAGACTTCATCGGGCGTGGAGTGGGCAGGCCACACCACCACACGGGAGATTCAAGGATGCCTTCTCCAGACTGTATGAAAGGTGATCGAGGCATCCTGGGGTATAAAATAAAAAAGATTGTTCTGGAACATCTTTCTATGGCACTCAAGGGCCATCCATGCTGGTTTGGGGTTCTTGGCAGGCTTCCCTGTGCACCCCCCGACAGGCGGGCAGCCCTTCTCAGGACGCTTCCCTTTGTCTCTGCAGGCCTCCTACCCTGAGCGGCAGCCCTGTCATCTCCGACATCTCCTTGATCCGGCTTTCCCCACACCCCACCGGCCCTGGGGAGTCCCCGCTGAGTGCCCCCCACCCATACGTGACCCCCCACATGGAGCACTACCTCCGTTCTGTGCACAGCAGCCCCAGCCTCTCCATGATCTCTGCAGCCCGGGGCCTCAGCCCCGCTGATGGTGAGTGGGGCCCGTGTTAGGAGGGCGGCCGGGGCGCCGTGGGGAGCAAGATGGGAGGCCCAGGGGCTCTGTTGGGATCCCCAGCCTCGTCCCCTCGGAGAGTGAGCAGGCTGGTGTCCAACCCACCGCCCCTGAACGTCATATTTTATGATAAATGAATGGTGAGAGCTGGGAGAATTGGGGGTTCCCTGGTTTTTCCACTCTGTTGGGTATAGTCCCTGTGTGATTTACCATAACAGCCATGGTAAGAGACAACCTGTTTATTCAGGTAGATCCTGTCTTAGGTGACAGTAAAGTAAAGCCAAGTCTGTAGAAGCTGGTGTGTGTTCAGTAAAGGGAGCATTATGCAGGAGCACTTCACGGACCCCCAGAGCAGAAGGGAGGCAGAAATGTTCCTCCTGGAGGGAGAAGGGTATTAGCCATGAGGCCCGGCGCTCTCTGTCTCTGTCTCTCTTTGAGCCACGTGGACCACTCTGGCTTCCTGCCACGAGGACCGGCCCTTTCTATCTCTGTCTCTCTTTGGGCCACGTGGACCCCGCTCTGGCTTCCTGCCACAAGGCCCAGCTCTCTCTGTCTCTCTCTCTTTGGGCCATGTGGACCCCACTCTGGCTTCTTGCTTTTTGCTCGCTTGCAGGTCAACATAGGTGGCCTCAGTAGCAGCCCCAGACTCCAAGGCTTCAAGGATGAACACCAGTGGCTCTGTGTCCCCAGCTGAGAGAGAACTGATTGGTCAGCTTATCAGAGATAAGCCAATTAATTTGAGCCAGGGAGAGATGGGATTCCTGGTACAAATATGGCCTTTGATCTAAAACTTTTTACTTCCAGTCCCTAGCCCCACCCCACAGATGTACACATGCATGCACACACACATGCTCACACACAGTGGTGAGCACACTGGGGAGCCTGCCCAGCCCGCGCTCTCTTGGGAACCGCACCCTCCGCCCCAGCAGTGAGAAGACTTTATCTGCTGTCTTGTGATCCCCTCCAAGTGTTTGCCACCTCTCACTGTTCCCATCAACCAGAGCAACCGAACCAAGCTGCATCTTCCTAAAACAGGTCCAGCTGTAGCCTCCCCCCTCAGCCAAGTCAGCTTCCGGCCGGGGGACCTGCACAGGGCACAGTCGGGACCAGTGTGGGCCGGAGGCTCTGAGAAGCATGGTGCCTGGGACTCCCTCCTCGCCAGCTCTGTTCTCACCAGGTGACCGTGGCCCCTTCACCAGCAGGCCTGTGCCCTCCCAGCTCGCAGGTGTGAGCGTACACTGAAGCAGAGACCTGGATCTGAGAAGATACAGGCTGAATTGTCACGGGGAGAAGGTTTGCAGCCTCGAAAGTCACCGGAAGTCTCCCCGAAGTTGGCCAGCCCTGACGTCCTCACCAGAGAAACCAGACGATGGTCAAAGTCAAGGGGCCTTACGGGGCTGGGCCAGGAGGTGGCTCCATTCTGAGATGGCCCATGGGGTTGGGACCCAGCCCTGAGCCTGAGTGGACCCTGTGAGCGGCCTTGGCAGAGCCACGGTGCCGTGGAAGGGGTGTGCTGCCCGGTGCTGCGCGCCGAGCTGGCAGGGAGTCACCATCTTGTAGAAAGTGGGCCAACGCTTTCCCGCGCCACGTGTGATAACCTAGCCGGCAACAGGCTTACCTGAGTGGAAGATGAGGGGGGCAATTAAGCTTAAAATGCCGCTCAGGTGCTGACGCTTACAGCTGGTGTCAGGGACTGAATGGTGGTCCCAAAAAGATGTCTACCTCCGAATCCCTGGAGCCTGTCTATTTGAAAAGGGGTCTTTTCAGGTATAACTAAGGTAAAGATCTTGAGATGAGGAGAGTACCCTGCGTTATCCAGTTGAGCCCAGTGACAAGTGTCCTTATAACAGACATACAGAGAATGCAGACTCGGAAGAGGAGGCCATGTGAAGACGGGCAGAGATTGGACTGATGTGGCCACAAACCAAGGAAGCCGGCAACCACCAGAATATAAAAGAGACGCAAGGAATGGATTCTCGCCTAGAGCCTCTGGCCCTGCCAACACCTGATTTCAGACTGCTGCCTTCCAGGACTTTGTGGGAAGGAAATTCTGTTGTTTGAAGCCACCAAATGTGTGGCGGTTTGTTACAGCAGCAACAAGAAACTAATACACACGGTAACAGAGTTACTAGGGAAGAGAAAGAACCCGGCATGGTGATGGGCGTGGACAGGACGGACAGAGGCCTGGTAGTCAGCCTGGCTGGAGGCCACGGATCCCTCTGCAGGTCCAGCAGGAGATGGTGAGGAAGAGGAGGGTGGCAGCTCCCACTCTCTGGAACCTCCTCTCTGCTGATCTCATTTGGTATTTGCTGAGACTAACAGCACAGAAGCCCGGTCAGGAACTTTGGTTTCTAGAGTGAAACTTCAGGCCTCACCCAACTCTACCGCTGGGCGGCTGACCTTGGTGGTTCATTTAACTCTCCCAGCGTCAGCTTGCACATCCATCAATGGAGATAATAGTGATGCCTCTGGGCTCCTAATGTTTGCTCAATAGATGTGATTCCCTCAGTGCCTGGCTGGCACTGACCAGCAAGCGTTCAGTACCATGTCACTCTCATTATTAAGAGTAATTTGAGTGGTGAGTATTATTACCCCATTTGATGGACAACTGAGCCAGCTCAGAGAGGTGGCGTCCTCCCAGTTTTGGACACTTAGTAAAAACCAGGACTCCGATGGGTATGTTTGGTTTTCAACCTCCAGTGGCTTCCCTAGCACCACACCGCCTGAAGGCTCTCGCCGTAGTCGGAATTTCATCCTCCTCGCCCTGGGAGGGTCGAGACAGACAGTGCTGAGGTTCTGCCAGGGCGTGGGGCAGCGTGGCCTGCGGCAGGTGGGGGCTTTACCCCGCCAGGCCCCGAGGTCTTGGCCAGTGTCTCCCCAGGAATGTTCAGGCCGAGCCTCACCTGGAGCCAAACCTGGCCGCCAGGGCGCCTTCATTTGCATCTCCTCTCTCCTTTGAAGAGAGACTTATGGGCCTGTCCACCCGGATTGCTGGGCTTCCATGGGGCTCAAGGAGGCAGAGGGGTGGTTATGTATGGATTTGAGGAAATGGAGGAATGTGTGGCCTGGCTCTGGTCTCCCTCATCAGCAGAAATGTCCGCCCCCTGCTATCTGAGCAAGGCCCAGTGCAGCGAGATGCCTGGGCAGATGACAGTGGGGGACCCCAGGAGCCCTGGAGGTAGGGGATGGGCAGGGGGGCCCTGGGGAGAGACCCTTGGCCAGGAGTGTGTGGCTGTTTTCTCTGGTGGGCAAAGGTGCAGCCGCTGCCAGATTCTGACCACTCCCTCTCCCTCTCGCCCACAGTGGCACATGAGCACCTTAAGGAGAGGGGACTGTTTGGCCTGCCCCCTGCCGGCACCAACCCTTCTGACTATTACCACCAGATGGCCCTCATGGCGGGCCACCCCCCACCCTACGGGGACCTGCTGATGCAGAGCGGGGGAGCCGCAGGCGCACCTCATCTCCACGACTACCTCACTCCGGTGGATGGTGAGTGCTGGGCTGGGGGGCCTGCCGGGGTGGGGTTCCAGTGGGGAAGTGGGCCAGGAGCGGGACAAATGGACCAGGGAGGCTGGAGGGCAGGGCGCTGGGAGTGCTAAGGAGAGGCCCGGCCTTGCCTCACTCGCTCTGCCCGCCTCACCTCACACTTACGTGAAGACCCCGACTGCGGGTCCTGTTTCCCCAGACGAGTTTTGTTAGGGAAGAGGACTCCGTCTTTGTGATGCCAGCCACAGGTGGATGTCACTCTGAGGGGAGGCCACTGCATGACGAAGAGGTGTCGCCAGAGTGGGATCCCTGGTCTCTCCCACCCTGTGGGGCTTCCCCAGGGGGGTTTAGTCCAGGGCTAAGCACACAACATAGGTGTTCAATAATGTCTGTTGATTGATTATAACGCCTCTGAGTGCACACTCATGAGCACTTACACACCCGTTCACACACACGTATACGTTCTTTATCTCCTGTTCTCTCAGCATCCCAACACCGTGTGTGCCTGGGCCGAGGTGGGGCTCACGGGGAGGGCGTCGGCAGGGAGCCTCGGGCTCAGGTCAGGCTGCGCGCTGTCCGTATTAGTGACCAGATGATACGGTGCTTCTTTGGACGCTGCATAAAGACGGCCAAGGCTGTACCCAGGTAGCCTATCCAAACGTCTGGCTGCTCCAAGCAGGCCTGCCATCTGGGGCCGAAGGGTGGCACCAGGCCAGCTAGGAATCCTGGCCTGAGGACAGGAGCAGCCGCGCTGAGCAGCCAGGATCGTCCAGTTATTCAGCAGACGTGAGCACGTGCTATGTAAGAGTGTGTGTGTGCACAAGTGTGAGCATATGAATGTGTGTGAGTGTGTGAGTGTGTGAGTGCGTGTATGCGTGCCTGCATGTACGTGAGAGGCAGAGAGAACAAGAACAGAAGTGTCCGCCGCTGTCTGGGGCTTTTACGTACGTTACCCTACAGGTCTTCCATTCTGAGGCTGGAATTATTTTCGTGGTTTAGGATGGGTGAACTGGGACTGCAGACATTAAGGGCTTTGCCCCTGGTTGTGCCTCGGGGTTTCACACCTGGCTCTGTTGTTACCTGCGTCGTTTGCTCTCTCCCCGGGCACGCTGCCTCCAGTGGCGGCCACAAGGCGCCCGGATGAGCCCTGTGAGCTGTGGCCATAAGTGGAGCCTTGGTCCTTCGGCCTTAGGGAGGGGCGGGTGGGCCAGAGGAGCTGGCTGGAGCCGGGTGCGCACAGAGGCCGTGGAGAGAGGAGGTTGCAGTGAGCTGCAGGCCTGACTGGGCCAGAGGAGGAAGTGAGGAGGAGGCGGGGTGGGCCTTCATCCCACACCTGGCTGCGCTGTGACCTCTCTGTGGGAGCCGGATGGGGGGCAGGGATACCCAGCCCCCTGTGCTATGTGGACTTAGCTTAGTGCCTGTCATACAGTAGGTGCTAACTAATGCTAGTCCCCTTCTCTGTCCACCTGTATCCTTTTTCTTCTTTCACATCTGCTCCCTCTTACAAGACTTTCTTCATATCGCCACCGCTGTCCACCCCAGTGCTTAGCCCCAGTCTTCTTGACATCTTCCGGTGTCCGTCTGTCCCCCAGGCCTGTCACGTCTGGCCTGTCAGCCGTCTCGGACCATTCAGCTATCTGCAACCTTGGCCTCACTGCCACGCAGCTATGGCCACCGTCAGCTCCCCTAGCCTCATGGCGCCTCTGCACTGCCATCTTGTCTCCCCTGCCATCCTGCTGTCGGCCCTGCATGGCCCCCATCACCCTCAGGGAGAGTTCAGACTTTCACGTGCCTCACAGAGCCCTGCTGGCTTTGCCCCGGCCTGTATTCCAGCTTCGTCTTCTTCCCCTGAAAACTGCACGTCAGCCACGCTCTGCTCTGCCTCCCGCTTCCTGGGCAAGTCTCACATCCTCTGCACTGGGGCCTGGCAGGTTCCCTCTGCTCAGAATGCCATTCCCCACAGGCTGGCCGGGCTAATTCCTGTGTGGTCTGCCAGGACTCAGATCAGTCACCACGTCTCCCACAACATCGTCCCAAGTCCCACCCAGGCTTCATTAACACCACTTTTGGAGCTCCTGCACCTCTGTGTCCCACCTACAGGACCTGAGGCTGGTCACACGTCCTTATATATAACCAGATATTGAGCCCCGCGGGGTCTGGAGCGCATCTGGCATGGAGTGGGCCTGCTGTGCCCCTGGGGTGAGTGAGTGAGTGAGTGGGTATGTGGATGGGCGAGTGAGTGGGTGGGCGAGTGAGTGGGTGAGTACGTGGGTGGCTGGGTGGGTGAATGAGTGGGTGGGTGGGTGAGTGGGTAGACAATTGGGCAGATGGGTGATGGTCACGTGGGTAAGCAAGCGAGTGGGTGGGTGGGTGGGCACATAGGAGACAGATGGGCGAGTGGGAGAGCAATCAAGTGGACAGTTGAGTGGGTGAGGGGTGAGTGAGTGGGTATGTGGGTGAATGAGTGAGAGAATGAGTGGGCGGGGAGTGGGTGAGTGGGTATGTGGGTGGATGAGTGAGTGAATGAGTGGGTGGGGGGTAGGTAAGTGAGTAGCAGTTACAGAAGAACCTGGAATAGAAAGATGCAAACTAATTAGGGAGGTAACTTCTGGGGGAAGCAGCTGGCATTCGCAGGGAGCCTGGACAGGGACTGGGAGCAGGAACTCTGTTCCGTGGACGGCCACTCGGCATTTGGTAGCATCTGGGGCCAAGCTTCTCTCTGAGACCCTGGAGGTGGGGAGTAAGAGGGTGAGCTCACCGGTGGGCGTGCGATGCTGCCAGCTCACGTCAGTGGCTGCTGTGCTAATCAGTCCACGGGGATCCTGTCCCGGTGCGGCAGGGGGAGGGACATGCTCTTACCGCCCCCCGCCTTGGGGACTTGCCTGGCTTCAGGGTGCGGTGGGAAGCTCGGCCAGACTCCGGAGTCGGCCTGAGCAGGGCTGTGGGTTTCTCAGGCTGAGGCCTGGGGACGGCGGTGGGTGTTCCTTAGCCTTGCCGGATTTCAGGGGCACATGGTGTCTTTCGCTTTGTTCTCCATCCGGTATAGTCCAGGGAACTCAGAGCAGCCACGCAGCATCTCCTCTGTGTCACACTTGACACGGTTTTCAAACAAGTGTAAACTAGAACCAGAACCTTTGCTTCAGCTTTTAAAAATATTTTAAAATTACACTGGTGAATGTCATTAATGTCACTGAATTGTGTACCCAAGTGATAGAGTGGAGTCCTGGTGGCGCAGTGGTTAAGAGCTTGGCTGCTCACCAAAAGGTCAGCAGTTCGAATCCCGCAGCCACTCCTTGGACACCCTGTGGGGCAGTTCTACTCTGTCCTGCAGGGTCGCTGTGAGTTGGAATCAACTCAACGGCGGCGGGTTTTTTTTTTTTTTTTTGTTTCATTTTGATAGTACAGTGGTTACCATGGCAAAGGTGTTGTTATCTATATTTCAGCACGATACATTTTTTTTTAAGTTTTGGGCATTCCTGCTCAGCTCCGATGCCTGGGTGAGTGTGCTTCTCATGTGCGTCTTTAAGAGCCTTGACCGGGGGGTGGTCAGGAGGAGCACAGTGCTGGTGTTCCTGGCCCGCATCCTTGCTCTGCTGAGCTCAGCCGTGGCTCCGGGTGTTGGCGGGCCGGCTGCACGGGTCTGCGAAGAGTTCACACAGGGAGGGATGGAGTGGGTCTTCCCACCACGTTTCTGTCTGTCACAGAGAGCCTTGTGCAGGCCGGCTTGGGGCCCAGGCCAGCCTGAGGGGCAGGAGACCACCCTGCAGGAGGATCCTGCCTTTCTCTGAGGACCACGTGGGCTCAGGTCAGGACACTGCCCGTCATGTGACCGTGAGCTTGTGAGCCTGGTGCAGGGGCAGGAGAGGGGGCCTCGAGAGCTCGTGGTAGTTGGGGGGACTGCGTCTCTCTCTGTCTCGCACACACATGCACACACACCACCTGTCTGTTAGTGCGTAGTACTGTGGTGGCCCGCGTGTGGCTGTGACGCTGGAAGCTATGCCACCTGTATTTCAAATACCAGCAGGGTCACCCGTGGTGGACAGGTTTCAGCAGAGCTTCCAGACTAAGACAGACTAGGAAGACAGGCCTGGCGATCCACTTCAGAAAAGTAACCAGTGAAAACCCTGTGAATCACAGGAGAAGGTGGTCTGCTGCAGTGCTAGAGATGAGCCCCCGAGGATGGAAGGTGCTCACAACGCACGGTGGCCACCACAGTGGACGCCAGCAGACCAGCGATCGTGGGATGGCACGAGGCCAAGCAGTATTTCGTTCTGTTGCACGTGGGGTCGTCATGAGTCCAACTTGACAGTAGCTAACAATAACAACGACTATGTGCCGGGTACTGGGGACAGCACAGTGTGCAGAATGCCCATGCTCCAGGGGTCCTCTGCGCCTCCCTTTCCCAGGAAGAGCATGAGCTCCTTGGACGGCAAGAAGGTCATCCTGACCTGCACCCCACTACCCGGCCTCCGTTCTCAGCACATTCCTTCATGTTCTTGTGTCCCGCAGCAGCCACGACGGGGCAGAGCAGTGGGGGGAGAACCTTCCAGAGGCCTTGACTGTCACGCTGAGGGGGGAGACAGCACCTCCCAGCAGTGAGGCAGCTTGAGCAGAGCAGAGAAACTGGGGAGAAGGCTCCTGAGTCCACATCCCAGAGAGCAGCACCCCAAACCCACTCGTCTGCAAACCGTATCCCAGTGTTTACCTTAGCCAGATGCCGTTTGCCACAGTTGCTGATTTTATATTTCCAATAGCCTCTCTTTTTAGGGTTCAGTAGATTGATATAAGTGGAACTTCACATTTTTTCCTCCACTGGGAAAACCTGGTAATGTCCCCATCAAGCCTGAAATAATCCCATCTGGGTGGTGTATACATCTGACGTCCAGGAAGACCCTGCCAAACCAGTGACTATCAAGCTGATTCCGACTCAGGGTGACTCCGTGTGTGGCAGGTCAGAGTAGAACTGAGTTTTCAGTGGTTGTGATCTTTCGAAATAGATCTCC